TGCTGGACTCCCATGTAGTCAACCGTGGTTCAAGTCCCGGACCTGGAGGCTTCAAACTTATGCCAGGCACGTGTGCATGCATGCCCAAGATCCTGAGAGGAGAATGGAGAAGGTATTGTGGTGTGGCCATTCCCCCTGGGGATTGGTTTCTTGCTTTCTGTCTCTCTGTATCTCTCAGTATCTCCAGCGAGTGCATGCTCCCTATGCCGAAATTTCTCTTAAAAAAAAAAGAAAGAAATAGATAATCTGGGTGGGCTAGCAGATGGTGTGGAGGTTAAGGTGGCTGAATCCCACATGGCTGACTGTGCAGTTCACGTTCCTAGTGGCTTGAAAACACACCGGTCTGGGACCAGCAGATGGAGTAATGGTCATGTCACTGGATTCCCACATAAGTGTCCGGTTCAAGTCCCAGACTCGGCAGCTTAAAACTCACGCTGGGTGCATGTGCATATGTACCCAAAATCCAAAGAGGAGAATGGAAGAGAAGGGACTGTGGCATGGCCATCCCCCCCAGGGGGTGATTTCTTGCTTTCTTTGTTTCTCCAGTGAGCACATATGCCCTATAGCAAAATCTCTCAAAAAGGAAAAAAGAAAGAAAAGAAAATACACTGGACGTGTATGCATGTGTGCCCACCCCATAAAAATAGGCAATATAGAACTGATCGGGGTTCAGATCCTGGCCCCAGCAACTTGAAACACTCCAGGCGCTTGTGCATGTGTGTCCCAAATCCTAACAGGATGGAGAAATGGAGGAGAAGGGATTGTGGTTCGAACACACCCCATTAAGTGCTTTCTTCCTCTCTCTTTCCAGTGAGTGCACATGCCTTCTGTCAACTATGAGAGAGAGAGAAATAAATAGGCAATTCAAGGCTTGCTCTGTGGTACAGAAGTAATGCTCAAGAAAAGTCAGATCCCACCTGGCAACCACAGTTGGAATCCCAGCCCAGTCACCTTGAGTCATCCAAGAGTGCTCAAGAGCCAATGGTCTGGAAGACTGGTGGAAGGGGATTTTGGCATGACCAGTCCTATGGATTGTCTCTCTCTCTCTCTTTTTTTAAAGAAATATTTATTTAATTTTATTAATTATCATTATTACTTTTAATCTGCTACAGAACACATGCGCTCACCAGAGAGAGAGAAAGAGAAAGTGAGAAAGCAAGTCTCCAGGTCGGGACTCGAACTATGGTCGGCTATGTGGGAGTCCAACGCCTCAACCACTGTACCAACTGCTGGCCCCAAGTCTCTCTCTTAATAAAACTTATTTTAAAAAAGAAAGAGAGAGAGAAAGAAATAGGAATAAGCAATCTAAAAGCATCAAGAAGGGACAGTTTGAAAGTAAGGAGGAAGAACCACAATGAACAGACATTGAAACAATGGTTCTGGGCCTATTGACTGTTGGGGCATTGTCCCTAAGGCATCTCTGTAACCCAGGTCAGGCATCTCTGTGACCTGGCAAGGGTCATAAAGAAGGCTCAGAATCGTGTAGAATTGTGCTGTCCCATATGGTAGCCACTAACTTCCTTTGGCTAGTTAAAGAAAATTAGACTTTTAGTTCCTCAGTCATGCTAGCCACATTTCAAATGCTCAGTAGCCGGCCAAGTGAGGCTAACAGCCAACACACTGCACAGCACGGATTCAAAACATTTCCGTCCTTGCAGGAAGTTTGGTTGTGCAGTGCTTGTCTAGAGGAATTCGAATTGTTTGTAATACTACTCAGGAAGGTGGGGGGGTATGTCCGTAGGTCCCAGAACCTCAGAATTAGAAGGTTTGCCACAATCCCTTTTTCCAACACTCTGCTCTCACCACGCATGCTTAGGTGTCCTCAAAAAGGTATGTCATTGGGGGCCAGCAGGTGGTGTGGTGATTAAAGTGCTGAACATTCCCACAAGGCTGATCAGGATTCGAGTCCCGGACCTGGTGGCCACTCCCATATGGCTGATCATGGTTCGAGTCCCGGACCTGGTAGCTCACTTTCTCCCTTTCTTTCTCTGTGTCGCTCTCTGGTCAAACTAAAAGGAATTAATGAATAAATAAAATTAAGTAAATAATTCTTTTTTTTTTTTTGAGAGGTTTTCGCTATAGGGCACGTGCGCTCACCAGACAGACAGACAGAAACATAGAAACAGAAAGCGAGAAATCACCCCCCAGAGGGGATGGTCACACCGCAATCCCTTCTCCTCCATTCTCCTCTCGGGATCTTGGGCATGCACACACACGTGCCCGGCGTGAGTTTTAAGCCACCGGGTCCGGGATGCGAACCGTAGTCGACTACGTGGGAGTCCAGCGACATAGCCATTACACTAACTGCTGGTTCCCGTAAATAATTCTTTTAAAAAAAACTATTATTTATTTTATTTATTACTGTTATCATTTTGCTTGCTATAGTGCACATACATTCACCAGAGAGAGAGAGAGAGAGGAAAGTGAGAAAGCAAGCTGCCAGATCCGGGACTCAAACCATGGTCAGCCATGTGGGAGTTCAGCACCTTAATCACCACTCTACTTGCCAGCCCCAATAGTTCTTTTTTTTAATTCTCTTTTTATATTTACATCATTAGATGAAGATTTCTGTTCTATATGGTTAAAATGCAGTATGTGCTGACCTTTAGTAGGTTAGCTGGAAAGTTCCCTCCTGTGAAGTATTAATTAATTTTTTTCCAATAACTATTTTTTAGAATTATTTAACTTTATTTTTATTTATTTATGTATTATTATTATTATTTATTTTATGTTTTTACTTATTCATTCATTTATTTCTTAATTTGACCAGAGAGAGACAGAGGGTGAGAGTGAGAGAGAAAGGAAGTGAGAAAGCAAGCCACCAGATTCAGGACTCGAACCCTTGTCGGCCATGTGGGAGTGTCCAGCGCCCCAACCACCATGCCACCTGCTGGTCCCATATTTATGTATTATTTTAATTTGACCAGAAAGGAACAGAGTGAGAGATACAGAGGGAAAGCGAGAAAACAAGCCATCAGGTCCAGGACTCAAACCACAATTGGGGACTCCATCCAGGTAGGGAGTCCAGTGCCCCCAGCCACCACGCTACCTGCAGGTCCCCATAACTAACTCTTTTCTTTTCTTTCTTTCTTTTTTTTTTTTTTTTTATAGATTTTTGCTATAGGGTGTATGCACTTACTGGAAAGACAGAGATGGAGAGACAGAAAGCGAGGAATCAACCACTGAGGGGGATGGCCATGCTGCAATCCCTTCTCCTCCATTTTCCTCTCAGGATCTTGGGCATGCACCACACGCACCCAGTGTGAGTTGTAAGTTGCCCAGTCTGGGACTTGAACTGCAGTCAACTCCATGGGAGTCCAATGACATAACCATTATGCCCTCTGCTGGTCCCTCAATAACTCTTTACTGAGCACCTACTAAGTAATAGGTGTTGTACTAGGGACTGGGAGGTGGGATAATAATAGCTAACATTTATTTAGTTCTTATTAAGGGCCAGAGACTACTAATAATTACAACAACTCTATGAGGTAGGTAACACTATTATTTTCATCGTCTAGAAGAGAAAATATAGGCACACGGAGGCTAAGTAACCTGGCCAAAGTCACACAGCAAATACACGGGAGAGCTGGGCTTCTAACCAGCTCTCCTTACTGCACTAAACTGCCATAAATAACAGTGCCCACTCCACGAGCCTTGACTTCCGTCCATTTACAAGCTTCCCAGCAATCCCATCCACTGGCATTCTTGCCCCCTAGTTTGCAGATGAGGCTCAGAGAGATGGGATTTGTGTATTCCTTACGTTGCTTCTGATTGGTTAGGGCTCTGGCCCACCCAGTAGGTACAGGGGCCTCCTCTTACCTGGCAGGTATCCTTGCGGCCCTCTGGGTAGCCAGCACACAGCATCCCTGGCAAAAGCTGGAAAGTGAGGTTGAAGGGGCCAGGGCGGCTGTAGAGACACTGACAGGCCGCCTCTCCCAGCAGCCTTAGCTCCACTTCCTGTAGCACCCAGGGGCGAGGCAGAGGGTCTGGGGACAGAACCAGAGAGCAGATACTGTGAGGCGAGTATGGCACCTCCAGTTACCCAGGGCTCAGCTTTGTCCCTCTCACCTGCCTCCAGGACATCTCCAGCACCTCAGCCATCCACATTCACCACCCTCCTGACCCTACCCGTTCTTCCCATGCCCTCCTCTCAGATGGGCCCATCAAGCACCCAGTGAGAGCTGTCCTGCATGGCCGTGCAAGCACAGAGGTCTACAACCAACAAAGAATGCGCGGAGGGCTGAAGCCACTAAGCTCTCAGCTCTGATGTGGACTTGTGTTGGTCCGAAGAGGAGAGTCTTTTCACAAAGATGCTCTATAGACGAGATCTGGTCCTGTACCGCCGAGCTGCCAAGCCTGGAATCTGGGTGTCATCCCGAGCCCCTCTCAAAACTCCTCTTCCTGGATCAGACCCCAACTCACAAAAACCTTTCATTTGTGACTTCTGGGTGTGCTTTCTGCCACAGCCCTAGTGTAGGCACAGGATCTTGGGCCTGGCTGACTGACCCAGCCTTGTGTCTGGTCCACTCTTCCCTTGCTGCTGCCAGAGGACTGCTTCTTTTTCTTTTTCTTTTTCTTTCTTTCTTTCTTTCTTTCTTTTTTTTTTGGGGGGGGGGAGAGATTTTTGCTATAGAGCGCGTGCGCTCGCCAGACAGAGAGACAGAGAGACAGAAAGCGAAAAATCACCCCCCAGGGGGGATGGCCACGCCGCAATTCCTTCTCCTCCATTCTCCTCTCGGGATCTTGGGCATGCACGCACACGTGCCCAGCGTGAGTTTTAAGCCACTGGGTCCCGGACTTGAACTGCGGTCGATTATGTGGAAGTCCAGCAACATAGCCATTACACTAATTGCTGGTCCCCCAGAGGACTGCTTCTGAAATTCAGCTCTGATCTTTTCAAGAACAATGCGTGGATCCCACTGTTTAAACAGGGAGCTTGCCCTGAGGATCCCTGGGGCTGGCAGGTCTGGCCCTCAGTCTGACTTGACCCTAGGGTACAACCTCCTAAGTTTTCTGCCCCCTTCACTCCAGCCTGGCATCTTGGCCTTTCTCCTCCTGATATGTCTTACCTCGGTCCCCAGAATGGCCTCCACCTCCCCCCAGTACATCCTTTTCACAAAACCTTCCCTGCAAACTTCTGCTCTGGGCACCCATTGTGTGGTCTGGTCCCATTCTCTCAGACTTCCTGGGTGCCCACGATGACTCTTCCCCGTCACCTCCTGCCCTGATGGGGCCACAACACATGGGCTGTGGCATTTCCTCCTGAAGCATCTTCCCAAAGCCCCCAGCCGGGCCCAGGTCTGATCACAGCAGATGGGGAATCTGTGGGGGCCTGGCTAGCATGGTAAGATAGCATTGGGTGATGGGGATGACAAGGAAGGGAAACGTGGTCTATTTCCCCACACCTTTGCACAAGGCATTTGCTTGTTTATTAAATGTATTGTTACTGGACTGTAAGTTCCGAGAAGGTGGGACTTCGCTTTTGACGGTCGCTGGTGTACCTGCAACGCTAACACAGAGCCTGGTGAATGGACGAGGTTGAAGAAACATCTTGAGTGAAAGAAAGACGACTGAATGAGGGTAAGCGGGGAGAAGATAGGAGGCGGGAGTAGGGAGATGACTGATGGGTAAATAGGATGGGAGGAAGCGGGAAGGGAGGGCAGGAGGGCAGAAGCTGACACTTGCAGAATGCGTCCTATGGAGGGTGCGCAGATTTACTGCTTTAACATGAATTATGTGAAGTCAAGCTACTTAATTGCATTACATACTGTTGTGCTAGGCACCGGGCTACAAACTTCATGGACTTTCTCAGTCTACCCAACAACTCCACGAAATGGGCACCACTATTTTCCTCATTTTACAGAGGAGGAAACGTACTGAAGTGTTTCGTCTTGAAATAGCAGAACTAGGGACCAGCAGGTGGTACAGTGGTTAAGGCGTTGGACTCCCATACTGTAGACCACCGTTTGACCACAGTTTGAGTCCTGTGCTGGGTGGCTTGCTTTCTTACTTTCCCTCTCTTTTTGTCTCTCTCTGGTGAGTGCATGTGACCTATAGCAAATTTTAAAAATAATAAATAAGTGAATTAATTAAATGAAAAAGTCTTAAAAAGAAAAAAGAAAGAAAGAAAGCCATGTCAGAGCTAGGATGGAACCCAGGTGGCCCCTAAATCCTGGAAAGGAAAACTGTAAGGAAAGTTGAAGAGGGAGTGGGGTGAGGATGATTCCGTAGTCTGAGAACCCCTGGGAAAGAGGACAGATGGAGGATCCACCCGGGCCCCCCAGAAACCCGCCCTCCAAGGCCCTGCTCGAGGCCCCGCCCCATAGGCCCGACGTCCCGGGCCCGCCCACTCGGACCCTCGCCTTCAAGGCACGCCCCTGAAGCCCCGCCCCCAGGGCTGCACCGTGGCCCAGCAGGAGGTGCCATGAGTGAAGCGGTGCGAGGCGCGGGGCAGGCAGACGGGTCGCACCGTGGGGCCCAACCTGGCGGGCGAGGCCAGGCGCAGCAGGGCCACATCGGAGCCCAGTTCCACCCTGGTGTAGTTGTCGGGCACCAGGATGGCCGCCACTTCGCGAACGTGCGCGCCGTCCTGGGGCTCGTCCTGGGAGTGCACGCCCAGCAGTACCGACCACTCGGATGCAGGTTCCAAGGTCCCGTTACTGCGCCAAGACCGAGACGCGCGGGGTTAGATGGACGCAGTGAAGGGACCAGACCCTCGCGCGGTGGGGTCAGATCCAGTTGGAACTGAGTCGATGGAGGTTGAGAAAGTCTCCTAAAAGGGGAGGGACGAATCCAATTCCGAGGTAGTGATTAAGCGCCTTGGAAAGATAGGGTTCCGAGTCGGATATTTATTAGAGAGGTGGGACGAGCCGCCTGGCAACCTAACCCCACCTGGAACGAGGTACTAGCTTGGGAGTCAGAGCTGAAGTGGTTAGCCTTGAGCACGCGGGAGGGAGGGGAGAGGTCAAACTTCCGGCGGCGCAAGACTGTAAAGGGGAGGGGCTGGTCACCGGCGAATACGCACCTCACGAAACAGTGAGCAGCCGAGAGGACCCAGGAGGGGGCGATGAGAGAGCCCCCGCAGACGTGGCCGCCCCAATGATGCAGGCTCACCTGCCACGGCCAGGTGCCCGGTTGTGCATCCGAGCCTCCCATGATGCGGGCAGAGGGCTCCGGGCGCCCGCAGTCTGCAATGGGAACCCTGGAGGTCAAAGCCTGCCTAGGGTCCCATATTCCAGAGGCCCAGGTCACGCAGGACAAAGCACTGTCCTCCACCCCACTCTGTCCCTCTGAACAAAAAACAGAGGACCCAGGCACAAGTTTCTGGTCATTTCCACCTCCCTCATGGGCCAGCCACCCTAACCTGTAAGATCTGAGGACACCCAGGCCTCTTCCTTACCCAGATCTTCAGGTTCCTCTTGGGAAGGACTGAAGGCTGAGAACGAGAAAGTAAAAAGAGGACAAGATCCTGGTGGCTTCCAGCTCTGACACTGCTCAGCCCCCATCTTCCTGCTCTCTGTTCCCCAATTCACTGTCCTCTCAGCGCTCCTGCCAGCACCCTCGTTACCCCTTATTTATTTATTTTAATTTGACCGAAAAGGGACAGAGAGAGAGAGAGAGAGAAACTGAGAAAGCAAGCCGCCAAGTCTAGGACTTGAACCACTGTCGGCCATGTGGGAGTCCATTGCCCTTAACCACCACACCACGCCAGCTGGTACCCCTTCTATCTTTCCTGCCTCTGCACAGGACTTTCCCTGGTCAGGCTGCCTTACCTGAGTCCTGGAAGGTTCCTGGATCCGGACCGATGACTGGGAAAACACAGGAGGCAGGAAGAGGCTGGAGACCTGTCCTTGCTAGGCGCCCTTCCTGCTCCCTCCAGCTTTATGGCTGGCTACTCCATCTCCCAAGCCCCCAGGCCTCCTGTCTCCCTCCTCTGACATTGTTCCTCTTCTTCCTGATGTCTCGTTTTCCTCCTTCTGGCCTCTCCCTCCCCTCCCTCCTCTGACACCCCAGCCTTCCCACAGAGCCCAGGAATCCTGCCTTCCATCCCCTCGAAGCTAGGACCCAGGCCCCTCACAGCCCTCCTGTATCCCCTGTTACCGAGGATCACAAGTGGGAGGAGCAGGTGCTGGGACATGGCACGTTAGTCGGCTGGAGACACAGATGGGTGACGGTCTGCTCTCGGTCACAGCTCTGTCACTGCCTATGCAGCCCCGTGACTCCTGATGGTCCCAGGGGCAGCCCCACCCTTCCTGGCCGGAGCCCATCTCTGGGAATCTGAGAGGATTTTGAGAAAGAAGGGGGAAGTGGGGAGCTGGAGGGCCTCACCCAGAGCCCTGGTGCATCTCACATCTTCGGAGGCCCAGGGTGTGAGCGGTAGGGCAGGTGTCCTAGCTCTGGACACCTGTTGGGTGGGACTGGGAGGATTGAAGAGCCTGAGCAAAGACCAAAGAAGAGAATAGCCAGGAGCTGGGAGGCCAGTGTTCCCGGGTGAGCAGTGGCCCTTGGGACTGGTGAGGTGGCCCCTCACTGGCATGACTCACCAGCGACCTCACCTCTGTTTGGGGTGCGGCTGCCCCAATGGCTTGGCCTTTTCTTCTCACACAGCTCTGGTTACTAGAGCTGCTGGCCAGGTCTGGGACAGGAGCCCTGGGGAATTCAATCCCATCCCAACAAAAGGATCACAGATTCCGGCAGGTGGGGCAGGGCATAGGGATTCTGGGAGGGGGCTGGGCAGGCTGGGGAGGCTGAAAATGACTGTCCTCTGTGATTAAGCGCGTACTCCAGGTACTCTGTCTCTTACTGTTGGCGTGACCTTGGGAAAGTCATTCGACCACTAGATATAGTTCTGTAAATGCCTGTTTGAGACACACACGGCTTCTCAAAGAGGAACTGAGGAGAGTTTAATGAAGGAACTATGTACAGAGGTGCATGCAGGCATGAGGGAAACAGATGAAGCACCCTGGGCTAGCCATAACGGAGAGCCCTTACTACCTATCGGCCTGAAGAGGTAAAAAGGAGGCCAAGTGGTGGCACAGCAGTAGAGTTGTAATTGGACCCACCTGGGATGCAAACCCGGGACCTTCCTGAGCACATTGGGTGCATGCTAGTGCTCATGATCTGAGCTGGCTGAGACTAAGAGTGGATTGCAGCATGAAGATCCTTTTGAGGACCAGTGGATGGCATGGAGGAAGGTATCTCACATGGCCAGCTGCATGATTCAAGCCCCAGACTCGGCAGCTTGAAAAACATGCCAGGCACATGTGCATGCATGCCCAAAATCCCAAGAGGAGAATGGAGGAGAAGGGCTTGTGGCCACCCCTGTTAGGGGGTGATTTCTTATTTCCCCCACCCTGGAAAGCACACACACGCACAAAAAACAAAACCCTATTGAGGGTGCCTATATCTCTATCTCTCTCACTCATGGAAGAAATAAATCAAATACTCTTAAAACATCATAGGGCTGGCTTTGTGGCCTTCTGGTTAAGGAAGGGAGCTGGTTCCCACGTGGCCAACTGTGATTTGAACCCTGGCCCCAGTGGCTTGAAAAACATGCCAGTTGCCTTGTGCATACATGTCCAAAATCTTGACAGGATAGAGAAATGGAAGGCTTTGTAGTGTGGCTGTCCCCCACGGGGAGTGTTTTTTCACTCTCTCTCTCCAGCAAGCACATGTGCCCTTGGCCAAACTTAAACAAAACAAAACAAAACAAAAAACCACCTGGGGCCAGCAGGTGGTGTGGTGGTTAAGGTGCTAGATTCCCACATGGTCAACTGCTGTTCGAACCCTGGACCTAGCAATTTGTTTTCTTCCTCTCCTTTCCCTCTCTCTCTGGTCAAATTGAAGAACAGCAATAATAAGTAAAATTAAATAAGTAATTCTTCAGAAACAAACCAAACCAAAACAAAAACCCTGGGGACCAGCAGATGGTATAATAGTTACGTCACTGGACTCCCACATAGCTGACCGTGGTTCGAGACTTGGCGGCTTAAAACTCACACTGGGTACATGTGCACGCATGCCCAAAATCCTGAGAGAATGGAGGAGAAGGGATTGCAGTGTGGCCATCCCCCCGGAGGGGTAACTTCTCACTTTGTATCTCTCTGTCTCTCCGGTGAGCGCACACGGTCTATAGCAAAAATCTTTCTCTAAAAAATAAATAAATACATAAAAACTCTATACTACATACTTGCCATTATTATGAGAATAGGGTTATTTATTTAATTATTTATGGAGAGTTTTTTTATTTTGCTATAGGGCACATGCGCTTGATAGAAAGACAGAGAGAGAGAGAGGACAGAAAATCACCCCCCAGGATGGCTGGCGACGCTGCAATGCCTTCTCTTCCATTCTCCTCTTGGGATCGTGGACACACACACACACATATGCCCAGCGTGAGTTCAGGTCACTGGGTCTGGGACTCAAACCATGGTCAACTACATGGGAGTCCAGCGACACAGCCATTACGCTAACTGCTGGTCCTGAGAATAAGGCTATTTTTTGAGAGATTTTTGCTATAGGGCCTGTGTGCTTGTTGCAGAGACAGAGACAGAAAATGAGAAATCACCCCCATATCACAATCCCTTCTCCTCCATTCTCTTGGGATCTTGGGCACGTATGCACCCACACCCAGCATGAGTTTTAAGTTACTCGGTCCAGGACTCAAATTGTGGTCGACTATGTGGGAGTCCAGCAACATAACCACTATGCCATCTGTTGAGCCCATGAAAGTAGTTTTGAGTTTGGCATGAAAAGATCTGTAGTTCCCTGGTTACATTTGAGAACCGGTGATCAAAAACAACAACTTTTTTTTTTTTTTAAATTTGACATAGATTGCATGTGCTCACTGGAGAGAGACAAAGAGAGAGAGAGAGAGAGAGAGAGTGAGAAAGTACCCCCCAGGGGAGATAACCAAGCCATAATTCTATCTCTATTTTCCTCTTGGGTTTTTTATTAAAAAAAAATTTTTTTTTAGGTTTTTGCCATAGGGCATATGTGAAACAGAGAGCCAGAGAGAGAGAAAGTGAGAAATCATCCCCAGAGGTGATGGCCACATGAAATCACTTTTCCATTCTCCTCCTGGAATTTTGGCACACACACACACATGTGCCCAGCACAGATTTTAAGCTGCCAGGTCTGGGACTCGAACCGCATAGTCAACCATGTGAGATCCAGCCATCTTAACTACTGTGCCACCTGGCTGGCCCAGGACTTGCTCTTCTAAATAATACAGTGACTTACTGAAGCAATAGCTCTTGCAGTAGGAAGGCGAACACTTTCTCGAGGGAAACAGATTGGCATTTTGGGGGGAATGCAAGTAATTTACAAAAGTTGCCCAAGTGATTCTGATAGTTCCACCTCCCCAAGATGCACTTGTTAGGATCACTGCTCTAAGGTTCCCAGCAGCTAGTGGAAAGAGTAAGAGTCTCTTCTAGGTATGAGAGCAGAACATAAATTTCTCCTGTGGGTTCTCACGAGTCAGACACTTCAATGTAACAAAATCTTACTCAACAATATCGTGGCAAAAGCAGCAGAGTAAGATTGATTTTCTTGTGATTTTTATGTATGTATATATGTATGTATTTATTTTTGCTGTCACTATTTTTCTTTCTTTCTTTATTACTTTTTATAGAATTATTTTATTATTATTATTTTTTTAATTTGACCAGAGAGAGAGAAAGAAAGAGAGAGAGGAAAAGGGAAGGTGAGAAAGCCGGCTGCCAGGTCCAGGACTCGAACCACAGTCTGCCATGTGGGAGTTCAACACCTTAACCACCACACCACCTACCAGCCCCTATTTATTACTTTAAACTTTTTTTCATTTAATCACGGTACATCTTTACGGCATACAAAATGTTGTTTTTCCAGCATGAATACGGTACATATTAGTCAAGTAAAAGATATTACCATATATGTTATAATCAATAGATAACTTTTCATTTTTGTGTCTGTCAAAAGCTTCCTTGTTTTTCCTTGATCCTCTTCCTCTTCTTTTTTCAGAATAGAACACATGCATGTGTCTGTGAAAATGAGAGAGTAAGAGAGAAAGAGAGAGAGAGACAAAGATGAGCACCCTCCACCGGGACATGCAAATTTCTATCTTACAATTCTGAGGATTAGAAGTCTGACAAAGGGGACCAGCAGATGGTATAGCAGTTATGTTACTGGACTTCCACATGGTTGACCATGGTTTGAATCCTGGACCTGGTGACTTGAACATCACACCGGGCATGTGCGTGCCCAAAATCTGGGAGGAAAATGAAGGAGAAGGGATAGCAGTGTGGCCATCCTTTCCGGGGTGATTTCTCACTTTCCCTCTCATTGTCTCTGTCTTTCTCTCTCTCTAACAAGCACGCACACTCCTAAGGCAAAAACCTCTTTAAAAAAAAAGAAAAGAAGAAGTCTGACATGGTTCTCAATGGGCTGAAAGGTCAGTGGGGCTGTCTTCCTTCCTGGAAGTCCTGGAGGAGCATCCATTTTTGCCTTTCAAGCTTCCAGAGGCTGCTTTTCTTTCTTGGCTCCTGGTCCCCTTCCTCCATCTGCTTTTTTTTTTTTTTTTAAGAATTATTTTATTTAACTGTATTAATTTTTAATTTGACCACAGAGGGACAAAGAGAGAGGGAACATGAGAAAGCAAGCTACCAGGCCTGGGACTCAAACTGTAGTCAGCCATGTGGTAATCCAGCACCCTTAACCATCACACCACCTGCCGGCCCCCTCTTTTTCCATCTTTAGAGTCAGCAAGGCTGCCTCTCTCTGACCCCTCTTCTGTCTTTACACCTTTCTCTCTGACCAAGGCGATGTAAGGATTCATGTGATTAGACTAAGCCCACCTGAATGACCAACCTGTCTCAAAGTTCATCCTCGGATCCCATCTGCAAAGGTGGAATAGTCACAGGTTCTGGGGAAGGGTGCAGGCATCTTCGGAGGCCATGATCCTGCCAGAGAAGTGCCGACTACTACATCTCCTGTCTTCCCACTGTGTCCTGAGCTCAAATTTTAGAAAATCCCTTTTATTCAGATGAGGACATTAAGGCTCGGGTAGGCCAACAGTGGCCTAATTGTGCTCTGATATTCCTTGGCCTACCAGCTGTCAGTGTATAGTGGTTCAATCCAGGCTTCGCGAGGGCCAGAAGG